ACGATGAGCTTGATGGCGAGGAACTTGGCGAGGGGGCGGCGCCCGGCGAGCTCGTCGTGCGTGAGGCCGTAGAAGATGAGGAGGCCGTAGAGGGCGACGCTGGGGGGGGGTTAGTGGGTGTGGGATGGGGGGAGGGACGGAGGGGAGAGGGAAGGTGAGATGGAGGAGAGCAACGTTAAAAGCCAAAATCCCCAACCCAGCCCAGTCCCAAAAAAGTAAACAGGAAATACGCACGTGATGCTGACAAAATCGACCGCCTCGAGGTAGACCTCGGCGTAGTAGATGCTGTAGGGGCCCGAGGGGCAGAGGACGCCGTAGTACTCGCAGATGATGCCTGCTACGGAGACGGCTGTGTGGTTTTGTTTTTTTGGGGAAGGGGAGGAGAGGGAGAGGAGAAGATAAGAGTGACTGAATGAGGACGGAGAAACAGAGCCGAGCCGAGCCACGCACCCGGCCTGACGACGACGTACTGCAGGACTGACCACTACGAACGGCTGTCAGCTTAGGGTGGAGGAGGGGGAGGGGGAGACGGACCTTGACGGTGTACATGAAGTACGCCTGGGGGCGGTTAGTGTGAGGGAGAGGGAGAAGGAGATAGGAAGAGACGGACTTTGGTTGGGCGGTAGCGCCAGAAGCAGAACTGGGAGCGGCGGCGGGAGGAGAAGGACAGAAGTGAGGAGGCGTAGGTGAGCGGGTGCGTGGGGAAGGTTAAGTGAGCACGCATGAGACACTGAGGGAGGAGAGGACGGGACGCACGGGTATCGGGAGCGGCCGCTTGTCCTTGCGCGATATGGCGTTCTCGGCGGCGTGGCCGTGTGCGGTGGTTGCGACATACTCGATGAGGAGAAGGCTAAAAAGGGTAGAGATAACGTTGAGAGGGTTGGCGGGTTAGTTGAAGTGAGGTGAGAAGGGACGGGACGGACAGGAATGCGCTGAGGGTGACGGCCTGGAGCGAGGTTAGCGGGGTTAGACGAGCGGGAGGGACGAGAACGAACTTCATAAGCTGGATGGGTTGGAAGTTAGAGTACGGTGGAAAGGCAGACCGGGAAGCACGCACCGACTTCGACGAGGGAGTAGTAGGTGTAGCTGCGGAAGAAGCGGTAGGAGAGGAAAGACACGATGGCGTAGACGGGGGGCATATACAAGATCCTCAGGCTGCCGTCGCACAGTCAGTCAAGCTTAGAGTGGCGCAGACAGGAGAGAGAACGCACATTTGTCGCTGTTCCGCGCGGTTACGGTAGTTTCTGCCTCCAGCTCGAGTCAAAAGAAGTAGACAGGGAGAGAGACGCGCACCGGCAATGTTGGATGACAGTAACAGCGGATAGAATTACAGTCTGGAAGGTTTCAATACGAAAATACTTGTCAGTGCAGAGCAGACGCACCAAGGCCGTACACCCGCCTGCGATGGCCCAGCCAATCCTATGCGCGTCCCAGTTGACGTTGCTCCCGTCCCAGAAACTGCCCTGCTCTATCGCCTGCTGGTTGTCCGCCGGACATGCTGGGCGGGTCATTGTCAATGGGTCAAGAAAGTCTGCCTGCGACCGACTGCGCACTCTGCTTTGCCGCGGCGTGCACACAGCTTTGCCTCGGAAACTGCTTTTAGTAACTCGCAATTATCCTAATCATCTAGTGAAACACGTGACTAAGTTTCCTGTGACTCTCCTCGTCACGCGTGACCCCCCCTGCACACCCTGAACACATCCGACCCGCCCTCCTCCAGCCCAGCGACCACCGCAGACCGCACCACCCCGAGGTACTCCCCCAGCCGCTTCCCGTCCTCGTCCGAAAACCCCTCGTACAGCTTGTACCGCGAGTCCGCCACCGTGTTCGCCAGCCCCAGCGCGTGCGCGAGGTTCCTGCCGGTCAAAGTAAGTAAGTTGGGTATCGAGTGACTCTGGGGATGGGCACCCACTCGGGGAAGAGCACCCGCGACTCGGCGAGCATCATGTGCAGCCGCGTGATAAACTCTGGGATGTAAATACGGCGTATCCGCTTCAGCTCCTTCCCGCGTCGATCACCTGGCCCCCGAGTGAGCATTGAGGTGGCGACGGCGACAATTTCCACTCACCCCCGTCCACCACCAGCCAGTCCGAAGTCAGCAGCTGGACCGTCTCCTCGCGCGCCTGCTCCAGCGCGTCCTGCACAAATCACCCGTCAGCGCCGCATACCCATCGCCCATCCCGCCCCAACTCACCTTGTACCCCTCCCGCCACCGCACCTCCCCCTCCTTCCCCACCACTCCAGCCACAATCTGCGCCTCCGCGGCCCGGAACTCGACCACACGCTCTAGCGACACGCGGACCTGCGTTCGAAGTGGTGAGTAGGGAGTGAGAATAGTACGACGGGAATATCAATAATTGTACGAGGAGAGTATCAATAATTGCACGAGAACAAAGACCGCTCAAGGAAGAACAAACACACCTCGAAAAACTGCCGGTACCAGAAATACTCCACAGCGAGGTCCTCCGGCTCCGTCAGCGACGCCAGCTCGAGCGGCAGCGTGCTCAGCAGGTGCGCCGCGACGTGCACGCGGCCCGCGGCTGGGAGGGTCAAAGAGGAAAGAGAAAAGAGGAATCAGTATGACCACGACCAAAGACAACAGCCCAACACCCCACTCACCCAAAAAATACCGCAATACCACACACGCCTGCTCGAGCGCCGCGCCGTGCGTCGCCGCCCGGAACGTCGTCCACTCGAGGCTCCGCAGGAACAGCAGCTCCGCGGGCGACGGCGCCGCGAGGATCGTCTGCGCGGTCGGCGTCGGGAGGGGGCCTTTGAGGGGCGGGAGGATCTGGGGAGGAAGTGAGATGGGGTGCAGTGAGAGTGGGAGTGGAAGTGGGGAACAGTGTGAAAAGAAGAGCACACCTTTAACGCCCGCCCCATCGTCCGCGCCGCCGCCACAACCGCTACCATCCCCACATCCAGCCCCTGCTCCTCCGCGCGCTGCAGCGCCACGCGCCGCTCCTCGATGTCCGCGGAAAGCTCCAGCGAGACGAGGAACTGCGCGTAGCGCTGCACCGCGTTGTCGCCCAGCGCGTGGGCGTAGAGCGCGATGAGGGAGCGTTGGCCGGCGAGCTGGGGGTGCGTAATGTGTACAAGGGAATGGGTGGGTGGGTGTATGGGAGAATATACGTGAGTGGGAGTGGAGAGGAGAAGGGGAGGGACGCACCTCGAGTACTTGTAAATACGCCTCTAGTATCGTTTGAGCCGCGTCCGGTGAGACAGGGACGTCGATCATACGCAGGAAAAGACAGAGGTGCGCAAAGAAGCGCGTCATATGCGGGTAGCTGCAGCGGCGTCAGTACATTCCACTCCTCGCAAGCAGGAACACATAGACGCACTCGACCGACGCGGGGCTGTGCCGCCCCGTCCTCAGCCCCTCCGCAAAGTCGTCGAGCAGCGCGTCCGTGCGGTCGAGGATGATGTGCAGCTGCGAGATGTGGAACGGGTGGTCGGCGCGCGGACTACAGTCACCATCACGTCAGCGCAAACCGCCCCAAGTGCGAGTGCACTCACCCCTCGTCGACGCCCACCCCTGCCAGCCCCGCCAGCGCCCCCGCGACCTCTACCTCCCACCCGTCCTCCTCCGCAGCCGCTTCGGCCGGCACATCCAGCGCCTCGTCCTCGTCCTCCCAGAACCCCCCGCCGAGCTTGACGAGCGCCGCCGCCTGCTTCTCCTCGCACAGCACGCTGATCTGCGCCCACAGGTGGTCCTCCCACGTGCGGCACGCGGTTTTGAGGACCGCGGACGTCTGCGGGGACGGCGCGAGCGCAGCGTAGAGGACGCGGTCTTGATCGGGGATGGCGGGCTGCGTAGAAAGTGTGGGTAGGCTGGGATCCGGGGGAAGAGGGGACGTACGTTTAGCGCTGCTTTGGTGCACGTTAATTTCCAGAGCTTGCGTCGCCGGTTCCCGCGCCAGCCTTCAAAGTCCGGCTCGAGCTCGTCTTGGTCGTCCGTGTCGAGCGCGCCGGTGGCTGGGCATTGCGTTGTCAGATGTGTGGGATGAGAGAGATGTGGGTCCTCACTGATCGCGCGCCACTCGAACAGCAGCGACCCGCGGATGCTTGCCGAGCGCCAGGGCTGGTGCGCTTTGCGGCATATCTCCATCGCCTCCTCTAGTCGTCCTGCGCGGACGTATAGGTACAATGCTTGGGCCAGGGACTTTTCGTACGCCTAGAGGTCGTAGCTCACACAACCAGCCACATCCATCGGATACCGTGGAACACGTACCATATCATCCCCAGCTAAACTCTTCCCCTCCTCTCGACTTGCCGCATCGGGATCCAGGTGTGCCACAAGGCCCTCCACGTCTTTCTTATTCCCCGTCCTCGCCGCTTGCGCCAATCGATGCTTCGTGTACCGCCAGTATCCAGTAGCAGCTTCTGGAGGTTGAGGTTGCGGAGCCGTCTCCTGCAGCCACTCGCGCACGACGACGAGCTCGGAGAGGAGCGCGGAGGCGTTCATGATCGCCTGGGCGAGCGTGGAGGTGGGCGTGTAGGGGTTTTCGGCGAGGAGAGAACGTGCCGTGGGGAGAGGTGCTGGGGCTGTTTTTCGTGCACTGAGAGCATGTGGTAGATATAGGATTGGGATACGTATATGTTGAACTCACGGCATTACAGCCTGTAGCAAGCCCCAAGTATCGCTCTCCATTCGCAGAGCCTCCACCTCCTCCACAGCTAGAGCACGACGCGGATCTTCGACATCGTCCAACCTAACGGTCCTTAGAATGAGCTGGAACCATGAGAATGTGCAACTTGCCTCTCGCGACAGATCTGGCGTAGTCGGGGAGCAAAGCCAGTCTCAGGATCAAGCAGAGCTGCTAGATCATCCCGAAGGGACTGGCATAGAGAGAGCACTTCCGCGCACTGCGTGTAGAGTGTTGTTTCGGACATAATGGGGTCGCGTCGGTGTGTAGGTGTGGCTTAAGACGCGTCGATAGTTTATTTAGCCTAGTTCGGATATCTCGCTATACTTTTGTAAGAACAAGACCATTACGATCGCCCTTATAGCTCAGTGGTAGAGCGCATCACTCGTATGTCATTAGATTATGATGAGGTCCGTCGTTCAATCCGGCGTGGGGGCATCACAGGTGTGGCCAGCTTTCTTTTTTCTTCGTTCACTGTCAACCAGTTTGCATAAACTACCGAAGTCGTGACGGTATTGTTTTCTCGAGTGTTCTCCCGGCTCCGAGCATTAGATAGTTTCCGAGTATTGCGGTCTTGTCTTGATCTTGTCTTTATAGCTCACCTCGAAGTTTGAACTCGCGCTTCCGAGCGACGTTCGGCCTCTTCCCGTCCCAGGATACCCTGACCAGCGTGCCGCATAGAAGGTGGAACACGTCTGCCAGTGCAAGGTCCTGCAACGAGACGCACATGATCAACCTGTGAGTGGGCATAGTCAACGGTACGTACATCTCCAGCCATAAACTACTATAAACTTCTGCTTGCTAAAGATCCTCTCGTATACGTCCAGCTTTCCCGCCCTCAAGGTAGTTGTATACTCCTTGACGCGAGCGTCATCGGTCTTGAGGCCGACGTACCTTCACGGTATATAAAACCTCCAGCTCCTTCTTCGAGGTTCGAGAGCAGGAACATGCTACACGTACGCCTCGTATAACTTCTCCCATGCATATCCGAGGAGGCTCGATCAGGATGCGGCTGCTATCGGAGAGCCGGCTTTCGCTGCAGGATGGCAAGCAAATGCATGCGACTCATACAGGATAAACCCGTCGTCATCCGAATTATGACGAAGAAGTCGAGGGTCAAATATACGGATGGCGAGTAAACTCATTGGACGCACCACGACGGGCACCTATTAGGAGAGTTGAAGAGACTCGATGTAATCGCCCTTGGAAAACCAACGAGCTCGTACTCGATCCCGAGCTTCTTGTAGGCGACGGCGATGTGCCGCAGAGTTTAGTGGCCGTTCTTCTAGACTGCTTGTTCGGCGGACAGGTCAGTTTCTTTGATGTACGTCCACGGTGCTGGGATGCAGAGCGTCCTTGATATTCTCCTGGTATCTCTGAAAGGATTCGCATATTGACAACGGTGTCTGGGCGGGTTTATGTTCCTTTTCACGCCGCCTGACCACGGCCGCGTCTGCAGACTACTTTGATGACGGATACTCCCGTCGACGTACTCCGTCCAGTATCCATCGTGCACTGCCTGGTAAGCAGGCAGTTTGGAGGCCTCTTGTCGATCTCAAGTCTCAACAAGCTACCTCCCGGCCAACGTGTCTCTGATTGACTCAACGTAGTTGTGAGCGACGTGGAGTCGGGCAGACACATAGACGGCAATGATCTGCAAAATAAAATAACCTACCCCACAGGGTCTTGAGCGTCCCAATACTCATGCTCGTGTAGGCACATCCGATGTATGATAATGCGCTGACGCGAAAGTCCAGGTACTCAATTGAGGTGAGTCATATCCAACTAAAGTCTGTGTAACACAGTAGACTCAATCCACTCCCTCATTCGACACAATATGCGAAGACATTCTTTGTCTCTTTTTTTTACTTGCTGCAGCCCACGCCACTTCTGACGTTCATTAACATAACGTCTTCACGGGATTGATCGATCGTGTGTACGACATAAGGGACGACTAAGACGTTTCCACTTCCTTTCTTGCCTCCCATCTCCGGACATTCTTCACGCCGCGTCCTTTACCGCTTGCCAGCTCTCCCTTCCCGAGATCTCCTTCCACCATCGAGCAACATTCGGCCTCTTTCCGTTTTCCAGCCAAGGATAACCACACTGGCTGAGGAGAGCGCCATACGGGAGGTGGAACAAATCCGCAAGAGTAAGGTTCTGCAACAGAAGGTCATCAAATATTGAGTAATCAATGACTAGACGTAAGTTAATTGGTACGTACATCTCCAGCCACGAATCTCTGTTTGCTCAAGATTTTCTCGTACCCATCGAGCTTTCCTGACAGAGTGGTGGCATACTCCTCAACTCGTGCGTCATCAGTTTTTAGACCAGCGTATCTGTTTAGCATATGATACCCTTATTCAGTCGAAATCGTGCCGTTGAATGCAGCTTCGCGTACGCTTTATATATTTTCTCCCATGCGATGGTAGTCACGAACTGATCAAAGTTGCAGATCTCGACGCTCGCCGCTTGTTCGTACTTTGATAGAGCCTTCACTTCCTTGGTGGGGTACAAAGGAGACCCAGCCTTCGCTGTGAGGTAGCAGGCGATGGCACGCGATTCGTACAAGATGAAGCCATTGTCGTCCTAATTATAGCAGAGAAATTCAGCGGCTAAATGCACAACAACACGCTAAGAAGACACACCAAGGCTGGTAGCTGTCCGAAGGGCTGCAATGTGTCGACATACTCTGGCTTTTTCTGATCACCCGTCAGGTTCAAGACGATGAGCTCGTACTCGATGTCGAGTTCCTTGCAGACGAGAACGACAAGCTGCGTGCAAGGGGAGAAGAGGTTTCCGTAGAGCTTAATAGCCATTCCTTCACTGTCTAGAGGAAGTATGATAGGTTGATGCCGATGGAATTGCGATACAGGACTTCTTATATCCTAGCTGGCATCTCCGAGAGTCCGTCTCGAACTCGGTACTCGGGCGTACTTACGTCCTCCTTCACACTCATGGCCGCCCGACTGCGACCCTGATGTTACTCAATCGATCACATTCAAGACGTCTCTCGGTTGCGCGGCCTGTCCCAACAAATAAAATTATATTGGTTCTTCAAAATTTCAATGTAGTTAGTTTGTTACTTCCATGATATAACCGCAGCCTCGTTCAGGCTCAAAGACAACCTCCTCACAACCAACTTCTTCAAGCCTGCCGTGTACTCCCAGTGCTCGGTGGTCATGCTCTTGCCAAAGAGAGATGCGTGGAATGTCCCTACAGTATGGGATATATTTCATCCTCCGGGAGACCTCACAAGAACTAATGTTTCTTCGTATCCTTGATATCCGGATAGAGCTATGCACAACCACATCAGTCACTTGTGTCCCGTCGCGGAGAAAATGAATGATGCCGTTCACCTTCCCAGGGTTGAACAAATTCAGCGGATCCACAGCCCTCTTAATCGTCTTCATAAGCTCGACGGCCCCTTCGCCCAGCTCATCATACAGGTACTCTTTCTTCCCGATGCCCACTCCGTGTTCACCGGTACCTATCCCACCATTCAGTCGATGCACAAGAAGAAGGATGAGGGAGGAAAGAGGAGAAAGGAGTAAAGAGTAAGGAACGTACACGTTCCATCAAGCGCAATCGCGCGCTCGACCATCCTGTGCACGAGCTCCCTTACAACTTCGAGCTCTTCGTCGTTCTTGAACAACAACAATGCATGGAAGTTCCCTGGTGCAGGAGCATCGAGGTCAAAGAAACTCGAAACTCGATCCGAAGCGGGGCACGCACCATCTCCCACATGCCCGACAATTCCGCTCTTGATCCCCGCCGCCTTTATATCCTTCTTCGTCTCGTACACCAGTGCTGGCAGCTGGCTCACTGGGACACTGTCACCCCGCATCCATCAGAACACCTGACGACTCCGAAACAGGGGCACTCACCAAACATCCGTCCCCCACCCTTTACTGCCACCCCCTGTGCTCAGCGCCGTATACAGCGCAGCCCGCCTGTCAAGCCACATCGCCTCTGCTTCCTCTCCGTCCCTTGCTAGTCTCCATCCCGTCCCGCCATAGTCGGGCTTCTCGATGATTTGTTTCACGATGCTCGCAGATTCGGCGAGGGAGGACGGTGTGGGGCCTTGGAGTTTGAAGAAGAGGGTGTCTCGCAGTGGATATTTAGGAGTGGGGTAGGATGAGTTGAGTGCCTGGATAAAGTCGTCGTCGAGGAGCTCGATGCATTCTGTAAAAGAGCGAAAACAATTCAGGGGAGGAAGGGAGAGGAGTGAGGTGGGGAGGGAAGATACAACGTACGGATCCCGACACCGCGGTTCAGCACCTCCCTCACGGCCGCCGTCGCCTTCCGCACATCGGAGAAGTGGGCGACTGCGACTGTTGTAGGCAGTAGCGGCGCAAGGCGGATGGTAACTGTATCCAATCAACATTAGCATGCAAGAGAGGATGGGAAATGGGATAATCACCCTCTGTGATGATCCCCAGCGTCCCCTCCGCGCCGATGAACAGCTTCGTCAAGTCAAACCCGGCGGAGGACTTGCGTGCGCGGCGGCGTGTTTTGATCACCTCCCCGTTGGGCAGCACGACTGTCTACTCTCGCATCCCATATCACCGTCAGTACCCGTTATTCTTATAGATGTGGGAGGGACGTACGGCGTTGAGGAACCACTCGGCCTTGGCTGTGCCGTACCGGACGGCATTAGCTAGCATGTAAGGAGTGAGCTGGGGCGGAGGAGGGAGAGACGGGCGAAGACTGACTCCCGGAACATCCATTGGAGAGCATGCCACCTATGGTCGCGGTCGGGGCGGGGTCGAGCTGTTCGAACGCGGTCGGGACGATGCTGAGGCTGAAGGGAAATGGGACACACGGGGAAGAAGAGCGGGAGACCGCGGTCCTTGAGAGTTTCGTTGATGTCTACCCAGCACGCACCAGGTTGACAGACGAGGTCCGAGTCTTCCTCTGAGACACCGGGAAGTAAGGTATGAGAGTAAGCACGAAAGAAGGATGAAAGAAGAAGGGGCGAGAGTGGAGAGGGACGGACCGTGGATCTCGAGTATCTTGTCCATCCCACCTACGTCGACGCATATTCCGCCGTGGGAGGTCTAAATAGCGTCAGTTAAATTCCCGAGCGCCAAGAACTCGAGCAGCGAATTCCACGAGACACGCACCGACCGGAACTGCCCCTCGAGACTCGTGCCTCCCGCGTACACAACGATTGGCATGCGGTATTTGTTGGCGATTTTGACGATCTGGACGACGTCGGCGGTGGTGAGCGGGGAGACCGCGACGGTTGGAAGGTGCTGGGCTGGGTGGCGTTGTTGGAGGTTAGAGAGCGCGGAGAGAAAGGGAGAGGGAGAGAGCAGGGAGAGAAAGGGAAAGGAAAAAGAAGGAAGGAAGGAGGACGCACCCCCTGTATACCAATCCACCTCTGAACTCCCATATACCCTCAATACCTCCGCGGACGTCTCTACGCGTACGCC